ATATCGCGCGCGCGCGCCCTGGGCGCGCGCGCGCGCGCGCGCGTTCCGAAAGCTGTGCATTTGCCACAATATAAGAATCGACATGTAACTCCAAAAAACTAAATTGAAACATTCTGCAGCCCTTTAAGGAGGCCGTCGGGCGCGCTGACTGTTCGATTGTGGGCAATACAAAACTCCTTGCGCGCGCGCGCGCCCTGAGCGCGCGCGCGCGCGCTCTGAGGGCTGTGTATTAGCCATAAAACTGTTGACATCTAATTCAAAAAACTAAACTGAACAATTCTGTAGCCCTTTAAGGAGGCCGACGAACGTGCTGGTTTTTCTATTGTGACTAATACAAATCTCATTGCGCGCGCGCGCGTGCGCGCTCTTTGAGAGTTGTGCATTGACCGCAATAGAAAAAAAAACGACAATAAGAACTGAGTTGACGATTTCTGCGGCCTTCTAAGGGGACCGACGGACGCGCTTACTTTTCTAGGGCGGACAATATGGAACTCATCGCGCGCGCGCGCAGTTAACATCGGTTTCGGTGTTGGTGCCTGTTACGGGCAACGCAGACTCCCAGAGCGCGCGCGCTGGAAGTTCTCTACTGACCACAATTGAAAAGTCACCATGCGGACTTGGAAGCTAAAGTGAACCCTTGCGCGCAACGCTGCGCGCGCGCTGGCTTGGAGTTCTGTGTTCTCCACTATCGGAAAGTCGCCGTGTTGGCTTGGAAAGCCAAGTGAACCCTTAACGGTGACCACTTGGATTCTGGGGTTAACATCGCTTTTGGTGTTGGTGTCTGTTACGGGCAACGCAGAACTCCCAGCGCGCGCGCTGGGAGGTCTGCGTTGTCCACAATTGAAAAGTCGCCATGTTGGCCTGGAAACTAAAGTAGACCCTTAACGGTGGCCGATTGGATTCTGAAGTTAACATCGGTTTTGGCGTTGGTGTGTGTTACTGAGAACACAGAACTCCCAGAGCGCGCGCGCGGGCGCCGTGGCGCGCGCTCTTGGAGTTCTGTATTGTCCACAACCGAAAAGTCGCCATGTTGGCCTGGAAACTATAGCGAACCCTTCGCGGTAACCGATTGGACTCTGAAGATATCATGGGTTTTGGTGTTGGTGTCTGTTACGGACAACACAACACTTCTAGAGCGCGCGCGCGCCGTGGCTTGCGCGCGGCGTGGGAGTTCTGTATTGTGCACAGTCGAAAAGTCGCCAGGCAGGCTTACCATTGACGAATACCGGGTGTATTCTGAAGTTAACATCGGTTTTGAAAGTTGGTGTCTGTTGCGGACAACACAGAACTCCCAGAGCGTGCGCGCGTTGGGAGTTCTGCATTGTCCACAATCGAAATGTCAACATGTTGGCTTGTAAATTCAAGTGAACCCTTAATGGTGGCCGATTGGATTCTGAAGTTAACATCGGTTTTGGGTGGCGGTGTCTGGTACGGACAACGCAGAACTCCGAGAGCGCGCGCGCGCGCCTCGGCGCGCGCGCTGGGAGTTCTGTATTGCCCAAAATCGAATAGTCGCCATGTTGGCTGGGAAATTAAAGTGAATCCTTAACGATGCCCGATTGGATTCTGAAGTTAACATCGGTTTTGGGTGGCGGTGTCTGATACGGAGAACGCAGAACTCCCAGAGCGCGCGCGCGCGCCGCGGCGCGCGCGCGCGCGAAAGTGAACACTTAACGGTGGCCGGTTAGACTTTGAAGTTAACGTGGGTTTCGGTGCATGTTGTCTGTTACGGGGCTCTCCCAAAAGTAGATAGGCTTCTCCAAAAGCACACATAGGACCTTCCCCACGCATACAGAGGCCTCCCAAAATTAGATACGACCGGTCAAAAAATAGGTAGCCCCCCCCCCACAAGGTGTTGGCTTTTCTTCATCGGTCTCTCCACAGAGGACCCTTTCAATAATCATATAGATTTCGCGCTTTCCAATGGGGAGGGCGTCGGATCGGGCGCCGAGGCGTTGTCCCTGCAGGGTTTTGGTTTCGATCTCCAAGATGAGGTCGAGGCCGACATGTTCACCAACGCCCAGAGGATGGATCTCGCAGGCAACGCGTTCAACGCGTTCGTGATATACCCGCTGATGTTCGCCATCGCGTGCTGCGCCCCCTTGTCGAAGGCGTACAAGCTGGCGAAGGGCTTCTCGAACTTCTCGCCCGAGGAGCTGCGGGCACAAATACAATGGGCAATCAGGAATCGGAGAATGGAGGCGGAGAGAGAGAGAGAGAGAGAGAGAGAGAGAGAGAGAGAGAGAGAGAGAGAGAGAGAGGGATGAAGGAGGACGTACGGGGAGCGAGGTGAACAAGTGAGAGGAGGAACACGACAAAGGAGAGGAAAACGAGGAGGCATAAGGGCTCTTTCACCCGTTGCACAGGAGCGGGACGAGGGCCAGATGCAGCAGGGCCAGATGCAGCAGGGCCAGATCGTGGCGGCCCAAGGCGGCCGTCCTTCCGGCGTGGCCCCGCCGGGCGGGGGTGACCCAGACGGCGACCGCGGCGGAGACAGTGGCAGTTCCATGCAGAGCGACTCGGAGGACGACGATCCGGACGCTGGCAGCAGTAGCGATGAGGTCCAGATCGTGGATGAGATCAACCGTGGTGAGGAGATGTTCATGGCTCTCGATACCTACATGACTTTGTTCGGGGATTTCGACAAGGCCCGCAACCCAAAGCACAAGAAGGTCACCATCCAGGGCAACCAGGGCATTTTGGTCCCCGTCGACGACAGTACCGAGTTCGAACTTTAGTTACGCCGTGGACTTGAATGAAGTTTCAATTTTGAATACCATTTCGAGCATCTGGCTAGGAGGTATGCGTCTTGTTTTGCCTTTGAGAAAGGCGAGGAAACGGTTGGCGTGACAGTGAAGCAGTCGGAGCTCTCACGAGAATAGGGAATTCCTCCCGCTCCCGCGTCCATCTCCCGCCCTCCCTCTCTTCCTCCTCTTTCTTCCCCTCTCCCTCTCTCTCTCTCTCTCTCTCTCTCTCTCTCTCTCTCTCTCTCTCTCTCTCTCTTTCTTTCTCTCTCTCTCTCTCTCTCTCTCTCTTTATCTCTCTCTCTCTCTCTCTCCCTCCCTCCCTCCCTCCCTCCCTCCCTCCCTCTTCCCTCCCTCCCTCCCTCCCTCCCTCCCTCCCGCCCCTTCTCTCATTCTCTCGCCCGCTCCATCGCATAATTTGTAAGAGCACGCTCACACCTCACAAAATATCAAAGTCGTTATCTGTGTGATGCAGTGTCTTATGTACTACTATATCCGCTCTCTCTTTTTCTACAGCTGTCACGAGGGTCAGGGGCGCCCTTGGTTTCCGAGGGGTGCCCTCCCGTTCTTCGCCGCGCGGCCGCCTATTCCGGAGTGCGGCCCTCAGGATCTTCACCTCCATGGGGCATTCGGTTTTGGGCGAAGGGGCTCGCGTTCTCGATCCGCGCTCTTGTGGCCATGTTTCCATTGTGCGTATCGTGACGTCCGCTCCGCGCCCTGGCCCATGACGCCCCAATGCACTTGCTCTCCTTGGCAGGGGCATGCTAGGACCTTGCGGGACGCGCGAGTAACGTACCATCAACAGTGCTGGACGCAGGCATTCTGGCTCAAGCTTTCGGTGGATGAAGCGCTGGCGTAGTGGCGTACTCGGACCAGTATACAAGTCGCACTCAGGCATGACCCCGAAGTTGGCTGCAGCACCACCGGCACCAGCACCAGCACCAGCAGCGCCGCAACCGAGAATGCCACCGTACCCCAAGTTCGTGCGGAAGTGCAGGAAGCCCGTGCTGAAACGCAAGATGAAGAAGATGATGCGGACCATCTATGTGGCCAAGATCAAGGATCGCCTCCAGCAGCGTCAGATCGAGAACTTGCGCAAGCAGCTCAGGAAGGCGAGAGACTTCATCGACGCTGCTCTCAACAAGGACCTGGCTCAGCATTTGCTCAACGCCCGGGAGATCGCGGACGCCCGCAATCTGGCATCACCCGAGTCGTCGTCTTCCGAGGGCGAGGGCGAGGGAGAGTGATGCCGCTGTGCGGCGCGACGCTCCCTGTAGGCTACAGCAGGGATGATTGCAAAGGCTCCCCTCGGATGATTGTAAAGGCATCTCTGCTGCCGTTGCCTCAGACTCTCGGTTGTAAAAGCCTCGCTGCTGCAGTTGGCTAAGACGAAGAGTCGACAGACGCCTCAATTCGCCCCTGCCGAAGGCAGCTTGAAAGAGAAGGGATCGCCTCCGCCCCTCTCGTCCACGCTCTCAGTCCCGCTCGTACTCTTCTCAATCCACGCTCTCATTCCCCCTTGCACCCCTCTCAACCAACGTTCTGAGTCCATGTCAGAGGAAGATAACTGAGCTGAGATGACCGCCTGAGGTGAAACGGATGAGGGGGAGGTACATATGGGGGCTCGGGGGCCTAGGGCCCAGGCAGGAAGCTTTTCCCTCATTGGGGTCGGGCAGGGTTGCTGGCGGTGAAGAGCCCAACCTAAAGTTGTTTCCCAATTGCTGGCAATGGGGGTTGCGCAGGGTTTCGATCAGCGAAGAGCCCGACCTTCGCCAATGCGCCGTTTTGGGTGTTTTTGTATTGCTCTTGGGGCCGTCTCGAGGCCTCTGGGGTCGCGCGGGGTTGCGATCGGCGAAGAGCCCAGCCTGGAACCCAGGCACCGTCGTTCAGAGCCGCTTTGGCCGCCAGCAGCAACTCGCGGCATAGTTGTTTGGTTGTGTCAAGCATATATATGTATATATATATAGCTGAAATCAAAATATCGCGGCTCGTACATTGAGTATCTTCGCATTCGAGTTAGGGTTACAGCGTTGCATCGGGGTATCTGCGTTTCTGCCCCAAGGCGCCGAGAGCGTCAAGGTGCCTCGGCCCGGGCGCCCAGGCGCCCCCCGGCCCGCGGGGCCCGCCGATGCCTGAAACGGCCTCGAAGAAGAGGCAGCGAGACACCGAGGCCCCCGAAGGAGATGTCCGCAAGAGGAAGCGCCTCAGTCGAGGTGCTCCAGATCAAGATGGAGATAGCTGCAGCGATAAGGGGAAGAAGCGGTCCCGCGAGGAAGGGCCCGACGTCGAGGGCGGCAAGAAGCTCAAGACGGACGGCTCCGGCGTCGACGGGCAGAGTGAGTTTGGCGACAACGGCTCGGAGGACCCTGGGACCATCTAACATTCAAAGAGGGGGGGCAGGGGCAGGGTGATTATTTATGCAGCATCTCTAGCACTGATGCTGAACATCGGTCTCGCGATTTCCAGGGATGGGGGGAGGCGTCCAGAGCCATCTGTCTGAGCGTTTTGCTGCCCAGGGCGTTGCCCAGGATCCCTGCGCCGCTGGCGACCCCCCTGCGCAGAGGCCGATGTTCGCTCGGAAGTGTTATTATTGTCGGAGCCGTTTTCTGGGGTATTTTCCCTGGTGTGAGAAATGCTGGAATGGCATGCGCGACCCCGTGGATAGCGACGATGATGGCCGCGCCGGCGACAACCATGTCGAATCACTTCCGGAGGGAGGTGTTTCTAGGCCCTCGCCTGGCAATGACAATTCTTCATGCTTCGCGCGCCCCTGCCAGCCCATCCAAATGCTGTCGCCAGGCGAGTTGACCCGATCAGGGACGTGAAGCAACATCTGGCCCAGCAGTGATCCACGTCCGCCGTTGAGGAGGAGCAGCCGGAGTGGAGAGAAGAGAGTACATAAGGAAAGTGAGGGGAGGAAAAGCAAAAGGGAGGAAGGCGGGCAAGAGGATGAGGAGACGTGCTGTGGTGCTATGTTGTCGAGACTGCTTGCTTGCGCGCTCTGCTACCTCTGTGCAAGCGTGCGCTGGGGGGCCATGCCTGAGTGATTTGCCTTTGCATCCTGGAGGGGCCCCCCCTCCCCGAAGGGGAAGAACTTCTTCCGTTCTGAAGGGGGGTTAGCAGGAGGAGCTCCCTAGACCACTCGCGCCCTCCTAAAGGGCTGGTGGGATTCCCTTGGGTCGCAGCCTTCGCAACCCCTCGCCGTGGTCATTGAAGAGTCCCCCGAGCACCCGTGATCATCAGCTCTGTTGCGCCCAGGGCAAGAAGTGCAACATGCTGTGCGGTGCGATTCACGGCGTGACGCGTGATCCTGTTGATGAGTCGCGCCCGAGTATACGTTGGCAGATGGATCCAGCAGATTTCACAGTCAGCTCTCCTGAGGGCGGGAGCTGCTATTATTGCGAGTCCACGTGGAGAAGCAAGATTGCCCACTTGCAAGAAGTCAGAGACAAGGGAAAATGGATCGAGGAGACCATCTCTAAAGACAACGACAAGCTCAAGGATACCCTCAAGCTGCGCGACGGCGTCATCGAGAAGCAGAAGGCTAAGCATCAGAAGAAAGGCAGTCGCCGCGAAGGCGGAGTCAAATCCGTCGCTGTGCGCCAGCAGACCTTCGATGAGACGAAGCTGATCAAGCCGGAAGACGAGTTCTGGCCGCTGGACCGCTACAAGGCGAAGTTTGGCGATCCCAATTCTCAAAGGAACAAGAAGCTTGGCCACGTGAAGACTGTTGTCGAGGGCATTGCCGGCGTCTGCGTCCCCACGGACGACGGGACGGGCCCGTGGAAATTGCAGCGAGCTCTAGGCAGGAGGAACGAGCTAGACAGGGAAGAGGACGTCGGCAGCGACGGTGGCGACGAGTCCGAGGCGGAGGGGAAATACCTCGACATGCGGAAGAAAGATACTGAGCAGCATCGTGCCATCGCTCAAGGGGCCTTGTCAAGCATCCTCAAAGAGTGCGTGATGACCGAGGAAGAAGCTAAAAAGGAAGAGGAGAAGCTGAAAAAAGCAAAAGCTCAGAAGAGGAGGAGGGCCAAACAGGGGAAGTCCGCCGCAAAGAAGAAGCTGGCCAGGTCATTCGCGAGGTTGTACGATTCCGATGACGACCAGGACCTATCGAGCGACGGTGGCAAGCCAGGGCCATCCAGAGCCCCGATCAAGCGCCCGCAGAAGTCGACGCAGGGGACGTCAAACGCGTCACCCGGGTCCAGTCAGAAGAAGCAGGGTTCGTCGCGGGTTGACGGCGACCAGGGCAACGTGGACGGCGGCGACAAGGGCGAGCAGGGCGACCAGGAACGGGGCCGCGGAAACCCGGGCAAAGACTACATGGCTTTGACCGAGGAGTTGTGGGACGAGTTCTCCAAGGATGACGAGAGTGGCGCCAGCTGTTTTTTTTATCCCCTTTCTTTTTTTTTTTTTTTTTTTTTTTTTTTTTTTTTTTTTTTTTTTTTTTTTTTTTTTTTTTTTTTTCTTTTCCTTTTTTTTTTTTTTTTTTTTTTTTTTTTTTTTTTTTTTTATTTTTTTTTTGTTTTTGCTTTTTTTTTTTTTTTTTTTTTTTTTCTTTTTTTTTTTTTTTTTTTTTTTGTATTGTTTTTTCTTTTCTTTTTTTTTCTTTTTTGTTTTTTTTTTTTTTTTTTTTTCTTTTCTTTATTTTTTTTTTTTTTTGTTTTTTTTTTTTTTTTTTATTTTTCTTTTCATTATTTTTTTTTTTTTTTTTTTTTTATTTTTTGTTTTTTTTTTTTTTTTTGTGTTATTCTCTTTTTTTTTTCTTTTTTTTTTTTTTTTTTTTTTTTTTCTTGTTTTTTTATTTTTTTTTTTTTTCTTTTTTTTTTTTTTTTTTATTTTTTTTTTTTTCGTTTTTTTTTTTTTTTTTTTTTTTCTTTTTTTTTTTTTTTTTTTTTTTATTTTTTTTGTTTTTGTTCGTTTTATTTTTTCATTTTGTTTTTCTTTTTTTTTTTTTTTGTTTTGCTTTTTTTTTATTTTTTATTTTTTTT